GAATTTTAAAATATGAATGTTCACATAATAAAATTGCTAATCGTTAAAAAAATATTTATAAGGGTATCAAAATTAAATATAAGGGCATAAGTGTCCAAGAAAATAGTGTAAATCAAGAAAAATGACTTTATGGAATAAAACTATACATACATGGGACTAAATGTGTTAAAAAATTCCTTCATGGGCTTCTTGGGTTAAAACACTTTTAAATGAGATTTATCAATAAAAATCCCATAAAAAAATCTATTATATGATAACCATCTAAAAATATCAATGAAAATAACTATCTATTATATGATCATCAGCCAAATACATACTAATTTGGTAAAAAAATTAGATGATCATCATTCATTAAAAGATTTATTATTTTTATATAATTTTATTTTTGATAGGTATAAATAATTTTAAAAAAATTTAAAAATAATTTATTGACATTTATTTTTGTCAAACTAATTTATATTTTATCAAATTGATGATTTTGACTATGAAATGGAGCATTTCCCGTTTGTAAAGAAAATGGTATCTTCAATTATTTTTATTTAGAATAAGATTTAAAATTTATAATTAAATATATTATAATTGAAAAGTTCAAAATTAAAGTGATACAAAATTTAAATTATAGGAACTTTTAGGCCAGGTTTGGCAAGTTCCAAAAAATTTAAAAAGTAAAACGTTACACAAAAAACAAAAAAGTCATTACTATTCACAAATAAAAAATATTAAAAAAATATTTTATACATTTTTGTAATACAAAAGTTTGAATTACACAGTCAGCCGTACTGCCCCAACAGGAAGGCATGTCATACACTTTTTTGATAAAAAAAAAAAAAGTTACATATGTAAAGCCACAAAGTTTGATAGTAATGTTGGGCCCTTGGGGGCCTACTAAGGGTTCTGTTTTGATAATTCAAATCGTTTAATATGTAGAACTCGTCGAGTACTATATGTCTGTGAAAAATCACGTTGATCGTATATTGTTAACTATATGATCAAATCAGTTTTGCATAAATAAAACGGATGGTGTGATAGTTAACTGTTGAACAAAAACTAATCCGATCATAGCTATCGATATCCGATCAACGTGATTTTTTACAGGCATACAATACTCGATGAGTTGTACATATTGAACGGTTCAGATTATTAAAATGGGATCCGTGGTCGCCTTCACGAACCGACGATCACTGTCCAAACACTTTGCCCCCGAAGGAGGCAATAATTTGCTGTGCAACCTACTCAACTTTATTCCCCTATACACATTATTTATTACACATTTTTTTGTAAAAAGACAAAAAATTAACCCAAATATTCATATTTTTTTCCTCAACTTTTTAGTTCAAAAAGACAAAAAGTGCACTTATTTAGGACACCCCAAACAACCACTTTAAATTATATTTCAATACTACATTTACTAGTAAAAAATATTATAAATTTTAGAATAAATTACATTTTGCACCCTTTATGTTTAACCACTTTCTCACTTTGAGCCTTAAAGTTTATTTTTGAAAAATTCTTGGTAACTCAAATTCATGTGGCCTAAATTGCTGGAATGTATCAAAACGACATCGACACCATTTTGATACATTCGAGCCATTCGGACCATGAAAATTCGGGCTACCAAGCAGTGTTATTTATTTTTTTCTCACTTTGACCTTTTATGTTTCAAGTTTTTCTCAATTTACTATAAAAGTTAATTTTTGTTCAAAATTAGATAGAAAATGTCATAATAACTGTCATATAATATGAAATATATATTATTATATTAAAGTTTAAGTTTATATTACAGATGTGAATTGTATATAATAAAATATTTTTATATCACGTGGTTGTTAATGTGTCATTTTTTATCTAATTTTTAACATAAATTAACATTATGAGTAAATTGGAAAAAAGTTGAAATATGAAGGATTAAAGTGAGAAGAAAAAAAAAGAAAAAACTTTAAATGTCAAAATAAAAAAGTATAGGCCTGGTTTGGGGTGTTTAAAAAAAATCTAAAAAGTCAAAAAGTAAAAAAAAAAAAAAAAATATCAAATGTCACATCAAATATTCCTTACTCAATTCAAACTCTTTTCAAAACTATTTTCAAAACTCTCACCAAACATTCTAGGCACTGACGTCAAAGGAAAATACAGTAAAAGGAGCCAAAAAAAAATTTACATATATATATTCACTAAGTTCGATGGTAATGTTGGGCTCGTGGGGGCCCACCAAGGATCCGTTTTGATAATCCGAATCATTCAATATGTAGAACTCGTCCAGTACTATATGTCTGTAAAAAATCACATTGATCGGATATGGCTAAGTATATGATCAAATCAGTTTTGTATAAAAAATGGATGGTGTTGCAGTTAACAGTTGACAAAAAAACTAACACAATCAAATAGCTATCGATATCCAATCAACGTTATTTTTTACAAGCATCTAGTATTCGACGAGTTCTATACATTAAACGGTTTCGATTAGTAAAACGAGACTCGTGATGGGCCCCCATAGGGCAGAACAATACCGTCCAATTCAAGCCCGAAAAGGAGGAGTTCATTTCCCATCTCCTAATCAGCCCACTACGTTACGGGCTACTTCACTAACTTCTCCTATACACTTATTTATATAATTTTTTATTATATATTTTTTTGTAAAAAGTCAAAAAATTAATCCAAACATTCATAATTTTTTTTCAATTTTTTAGTCAAAAAAAATAAAAAATACACTTATTTAAGACATCCCAAACAACCTTGTAGCATACTTGGTCCTAAAACATATATGAGTTAATCTTAGCGCCAGTGGATCGGCCTATGGGCTTGGCGGTTGGCATGTGGAAAGTGACTTATTGGGCAGAATTCGGAATTAACATTTCGGCCCGCGACTTAGTTCGACCAGTCAGGAAGCATTCGATGGGCTTAAGCCCACAAGTGGGCCTACTGTTTTTGGATGCCACTTGCGATGAATTCCGTTAGCTCAATCCCCCCACGATTGTAGACGTGACGTGTCATCCCATAGGATAAGCACAACGTGTCACTTCGTGTGTCCTACGAGGAAAACAAATCACACAACCAATTTCGAATATAGCGCGTGTATAACACCACACAAACAGTCAACATTGAAGTTAAGAACCAAACCTTGGGAAAAGATAAATGCTTGCTCCCACTAATTAGGTGGCAGTGAATTTTGCCATTAATGATGTGATGTTTTGATTTTGGAGTTGTATTTTTTTTCTTTTTTTACTTTTTTTAATACATTAGTGCTATTAGTGGTGATGTTTTTAGTGGGATGAATCATTGTTGTTGGGAAAATGCCTCCGACCCCAGCTAGGGTGTTGGGGGTCGTGCGTGTAAGATTTTGATTGGGCGAAAAAAAAAAATTTATTTTTTATTTTTAGCTAATGAAACCGCACCACGTCACTGGGTCTGTAGCATTGTTGCCACACCTTGGGTTGTTTTGGGATGTGGTTTTGACTCTTTAATATATATATATATATATATATTGATTATTTTAATTTAGAGTTAAAAAGTTTTATTTGAAATAAATTTTTAGTTTTTTTTAACTTTTGTAAAAAAAAATAAAAAATTATAGGTTAATTGTAATATTTTGTCTTATTATTAGACTAAAAAATTTATTTTGTTTTATTAGACTAAAAAATTTATTTTGTCATTTGGTAACTATTTTAGCTAAAAAAAAACTTTTAGCTTTTTATGTCAAACGAGCTCCAAATCATTTTCTCAACAAATACGTGGAAAAGACTCAAACATGCACTGTTGGTTTGGGAAGTTAAATATTTTAGTTGATGTTTTTTTTTTTTATTATTTTAATTTGGTTAAAAAATTATATTTAGAAAGATGATTATTATTTTTTAAATAAAATCATATGTACTAATTGATATATCAACTGCTGTATTAATAGTAGTTCAAAAAAAAATAATGTATTAACAGATAAAGTGACATAATTTTAGAATTTTGGCCCTGTTTGGTTGTGTTTTCAAACTAGTTTTCTGGTTGATGGTTTGAGTATGATGTTTGGATACTCTGTAGAAAACTCTGTCAAACAGAGCGCGATTTTCAATTTTTTTTTCAAAATTTGGCCTAACCGGTCTTTCGGCCAGTTGACTGGAATAGTGATTTTTTTTTGTGTGTGCAATTGATATGTTAATTTTTATATATTCGAAAAAAATATTTTCTGAATTTTTAAAATTTTTTTATGTGCTTTAAAATAATTTTGAGTTTTACGTTTAGTTATGAGTTGTAAGTTTTTTTATCAAATATCAAATGTCACATCAAATATTCCTTACTCAATTCAAACTCTTTTCAAAACTATTTTCAAAACTCTCACCAAACAAATTTTCCACGCTCAAATCATAATTCCAAACCTTACAAATTCAAAATACAACTCATACTCTCAAATCATAATTACAAAACTCTACCAAACGCAATTTTAAATTTTTGTAATTTGCATAATGGGTAGGATTCATGTTTTTGAAGTGATAATGTTGTATATTATGTTAGTACATTAATTGGTATATCAATTAGTACGTGGAGCACCATTATTATTATTATTATTATTATTGTTATTTTAATTGATTTGATGTTTATGAGATAAAAAATAAAAAATTATGATTTAGATATGACATTGTATTTTATTAATTATTTTAGCTTATTTTATCTTTACTAGTAATTATTTTAGCTAAAAAAAATCATTGCCAAACAGAGCCTAAGGATTCGTTTTGGAATAACCTTTTTTGCCTTTTTTTTTGTTTTGTTTTGTGCCTTTTTAACTATTTAGCATGACTAAATTGCTCTGTTTGGAAAGAATTTTTAATTTTTTTTTGTAAAAAAAAAAATAAAATAATTATAATTTGTATGTGATTATTAACTTATTTAATTTATGGGCAAATTACATATACACCCCTCGAGGTTTGGCTAAATTACAGATACCCTCCTGAGGTTTCAGAAATTACATCCCGCCCACTGAGGTTTGTATTTTCATAACAATTTGCCCCCTGAGGTTTATATCACGTCAAAAGTGCTTTGGACAAAGCGATTCCTCCTTCAGACTCTACCCTTGTAGAGGAGCATCGGAAATCCTCCAACAAAGGAGAGCACCTCACAACTTCAGAAATAGCTATGGCCCCTTCATCTCCGGTCATATTATTATGAAATTGGAGAACCCTAAGCTTCTCGGTGGAAGGGATTAATTCACAAATGGCCCGTGCAGCTTCCTTTGAGATACCGTTGTTCATTAAATAGAGTTCCTCGAGGCTACTCTGTGATTTCAGAAGTTTCTCGAATGCCCTAACACCTTTCTCACCCAAAGCGTTATTTGAAAGATTCAGAGACTTCAAAACACAACCTTCCAGGGCAGCTGAGAATATATTCATGATGTCAAGAGCTTCATCCTCGGACCTTCCTGCAATAAAATCTGACAGATCAACTTCTTGCAATTGATCCTTGAGAGATTTCAAGATGGGTTCTGCAACATAAGCCGCATCCAAGCCAAAGCTTCTATTGCTGAAGCATATTTTAGTGTAAGAATTTCCGGGCTCCTTTAACGGCCGTAAAAGCTCCTGAGCCTCCTCTGCTCCAATGAACGCCCGCTGACCTTTGGATATGTCGAAAAAGGTTTCATTGGCCCTGGTAACTTTCTCAACTTTGATCACTTCTCCGTCCTCTATGGCTCTAGGGCCTCTTTTAAGAACTTCGAGGATTTGCTTACTGCATTCCTTGGCATAAAGCTGCACTGCAGAACTTCCATCACCATCGGGCTCCTTTTCGTAGTGTTGATTTGCGGAGGCAAAAGCTGCATCTTCAATTTGTTTAGCGTTCTCTGCAGCCTCTTCCTTGCTCAAACTGCCATATTTCTGAGTGAAAATGGATTGGCTGGAAAGATTGTTGGTGATTCTATCCACAAGCATTAGTCGTGTGTTCAGGCTCGGAGGCCACAGCTTGATTGAAAATGGCCGGCGTTGTGAATTTGGTGACATGGCATCCATTGCAACAAAATCTTCAAATGACGGCTGCATTTTACTTAAATTTTCAATGATTTAACATTAAAATTTTAAAAAGACGACAAAACTACCAACAAGAAAAAGAAAATATACCAATTCACAGGTTCAAGTTAAATGCAGATCATAAACACATTATCAATGGTTTGACTAAAAGCCCATAAATTTAACACAGCAAAACAATGAAAACCTCTCTCAGCCACCAACATGTTTTCTGCTAACAATCTATAAGGGAGGATAAATGACAATGGCCAATGAAACAAAATGTTTTCTGCTAACAGCAATTACGATAACGCTTTCTGCTAACAGCAAGCATATTAGGCAATTACTAGGCTTACAACTGAAACAAAATGAGACGGCTGACTTTGAATAGCAGTTAAAGACACTATAGCTGAAGAATACTAAAGTTGAGTTAAAGGAAATTTGGTGCTTGTACCAAGTTCCTAGAGGGTATTAGAAATGATATCAGAAGTAGTAGTTGTATCACTCTGAACAGCAGTTTCCAATTACGACATCACTTTCTGCTAACAGCAAGCATAGTTACATAAGTTTCTCCAGCTAATTTTACCTAATGCTTTCGACAGCAGACAATAAGGCACAAATATCTTTTCATTAAGAATCTTTATCACGGTGAAGTTCCGATGAGAAAAGACGCCTAAAGGACCAGTGTAATAGAGGTCCTACAGAACATAGTTTCTTGACTAAATAGGGGGAAAGAAAACAAAAGATATATCTTGTCAATGGGCTAGTACAAATGAAAAAAGATTGGATCACTTGATACACTATTCAGAACTAGGGGTGAAAAATTCTCGTCAAATACCTGGTCCGGCAGAATCATGGGAAAGCAAAAGAAAGATGCAGGAGAAATAGAAATTTCCTTACATTGATTTCCCCAAAATTCATTGAAAAAAGACCACAAATTAACTGAATTATGGCATACTATCAATACTTCCATTTCCAAATGTCCTTCCATCTTCTTCCCCAAAAGGAAGAAAAGAAAGACATTTCTTTTCACTCATTCCTTTTCTTATTATTTTCATGTTACCCCATCCAAACCTTTAGACAGACCTGAACTACATTACTCATCAGCCTCAGCCAACAACAAAATACTCATACTAATTAGATGGCAGCCAAACCACCCCACTCCTCAATTTGTTAGATCCACTCCGCACTGCAATGTGATAAATTAACACCAAAAAGGAAAAATAGAATAAATGACCACAACAAAAACTGGTTTTGAGTCTGCCTGCCGGGTTTAGGGCATCTCCAACTCTCGTCTCCAACCCATATCAAAATTTTGGGTAAAAATCACTCAAAAACCTCTCCACTACTTGTCAAACTTGAATCCAATCGAATTTTATCCTTTTTTTTTTTTTTAATCCAAATCAAGGGAGACTCAAATGCTTACTAAAATTTTTTAAGACCACTTCGTACCTTTCAAATTTACAAATCTCATTACTTCAGTTTTTATTCAAATTTATGCTTAAATCTGAGTTTGTCCATTGGAGTATTTCATATCAAATAGAACTTCCACTCAAATTTAAGTAAAATTTTAAGTAAGGGTTGAAGACGGTAACTAGTTATCTATACTACTGCACATTTCGGCGTGAACATAAAAATGTTGTGTAACACTATTTTTGCCCAAATTATCCAAACATTTATCACTATTTTAAACAACTTTTGTCTTCAAATTAAAAGAAGGGTAGCTATGTAAATTGTTAAACACAACCACAATCAGCCATTTATTTTGGAAAAACGTACACACCCATCAAACTAATCTTTCCCAATTTTTTTGAGCCAATATGGTATTAAACTCATACATACAAATCATACACAAATATATAAAAGTACCCAAAATACAGATAGAAGATATATAAAAGTATCATTCTCTTTAAAACTCTTGCAAGATCTAAGACCAAAAGGGGCATAAGTAATTGAGAACAATTAATAACAGAAAACGACTTATTCACTATCAAAAAGTTCATAATCATCATCAAGACTCAAAATTTGAGATGAAATGTAACAGATCGGTGACTATATATGTGTATATATTACCAAAATGAAGAAAATAATAATGAAACTCTAAAACCTATAAATGCAGCTAAAAAAAGCATTGCGAAAAAAAGCTAATATGTACCTTTCCTTTTTCTTTTTTTTCTGATTCTTTGGTCTGATTGGCTGACCCTTTCGCTGGATAATAATCACCAAAGGGTTTCAATGGCGAGAGAGAGAGAGAGAGAGGAACTCTCGATTATCGAACTGAAAATGGGGGAGTGAAACAGTAGGGTTTAGATCAGTTTTATTTAAAAGCTCTACGGTTTTCGGTTCCATCAGGGGCTTTGTTTGGAAGGCTAAAAATTGTATATTTTAAGTCTCGTTTGGCATACATTTAAAATAGTTAGACTTCCGTTTATATAAAAACAAAAAAAAAGTGACTTTTCTCTCGTTGAATGTTTGATTGAATTAGACCGTTAAAATTTTTTATCGGTATGAATCATTAAACTAATGTTTCTTATTAGTAAAAGTCTATGAAAGTATAGCTCAATCTATGACTCTTATTAGTAAGAAATTTACGTTTTGTGTTTTTAGAATCCTGTCTTTAATTTTTTCCAATTTAGATGCGGGATGATGGCTTCTACTGTTTTTAATATTTGCCATTTACTGGGACTATCCCCCATTGGTACCCTATTTGGATCGGATTATCCTGATTTAGCAGTCCCTTTCTCTCTCCACTCCCTTAACTCATCTTATAGTGATTTCGCTAGGGCTAAGAATAAAAGAGAGGGCCCTGTGACTGATAGAGAATTCTTTTCTTTCTTATTGTATTGGCTTTGCAAATTCCTCTTCTGTACCTCTTCTCAGAGAAGCATGCCTGAATTTGCCCCTCTTGCCAAAACCTTTGTTTTACAGAAAAAGGTGGCCTTAGCCCCACATGTTCTAGGTCACGTATATAGAGTCTGCTCCCTTTTCTGTAAGAAACCCTTAGATGCTAATCAAGGGGGGCCATTCTGGATTCTTCAGTTTTGGCTTTTCGTCCATTTTACTGAGTTACAATCCAAATGCCTTAAATTCTTTGAGCCAAACCCTCTTACTCATGGCATAAGGTTGGCCAATACTTCACTTTACCCTTCTACCTTTGTTTTTTACTTCTCTTTCTTCCAACAGCTCCCAGCCTCCCTTCCTACTTACCGTTTTCGTCCCTTCGAACCCTCCATTGGTCCATCTTGGTTGAGGAATTTCCTAAGTGACCAGTCCTGTACTTCACCTATCCACAAAGATATATGGGCTTCCATTCTGATTCCCAGAGAGTTATTTATCGGGACTTTGAACCCGAAGGCCTACAAATGCATTGCTGAACCTTACTGTCCTGCTCAATTTGCTAGACAATTTTGCCTCACATAAGGGGTCCCAATACCTCTCTGTAGCAACACAAATCTCAGCCTTACTAGAAGGGATTTGAAAGTCCGGAAGTCCAGGCTAGAAGAGGCAACTTTTAAATTCATAGATGACTTGGCCAATTTCGAGTACATCCTTTTCATTCCTCAAGGTACCGTATTGAAGAGATACCAAAACTGGTTGGTGACTAACATGGAGATCTACTTGGCCATTCCACCTCTAAACCTACTAACGATGTTAGATGTGACCAAGCCCAAAAGAGCTGGAATTGTCATTTCTTCCACTGTTTCCGCTGTAGCACAGGCTATAGCATAATCTGCTCCTGCTGCTTCAATTTCTCCTAGAGTTACTCGGGCTACCTCAAAGAAAGGTATACCCTTGTCCCTTTTCCTTTTGTCTTTTATAATGCATTTTGCCTTATCTTTAATTCTTCTTTTGTGGAGGTGGCCAATTACAAAAGAAAAGGAGGCTCTTTGAGCTTGAGAAGGAAACATCCGATATTCAAGGAGAAGAAGAAGAAGTAGATCAAGAGGAAGAGTTACCCTTGAAAAGAAAGAAGAAAGCGATCATCTTTTCATTTGACTTGGTTAGGGATGAGACAACTGCCAGAGAGATGGAAGATGAACTCATTTCTTCGAAATCCAGATCGCAGCTTGAAGAAGTTGAGAAGGAAATTGAGAAGGAGCAGACCCTGCTAATACAAAGAAAAAGGAAAAGAAAGGTGACTGTCTCTCCTTCTGATATGGTCGAAGACTCTGATTCTGAGACAATTGCCAAAGCAATGGAAAAGAGAAAAAAAATGTCTGCTTCCGCTCCTATCTTGGTTGAAGAAACCATCCATGAAGCAGCCGTCAAGGCAGTAGAACAAGAACATTCTAAAGCCATGATTGTCTTCGAGAAAGCTGAGAAGAGACGGCAACAACAATTTCTGAGAGATGAAGCTGCCGCTGCTGACATACTACAAAGGGAAACTGCAAGAAGACAACAAACTGCCAGATATTACACCCTTCGTAGTTCTCCCATAATCACCGACACTTCTGGAGTAGGTAATTCTTTATACTTCTACAATTTTTCCTTTGTCAGCCTTTGGTATTGAAGTTTAACATTGCTTTACATTTCTTCCTCTTGCAGCAGCAACTTCTGAGTTCATCTTTCCAATGAGACCTCTCTCAGTTTCACTCGAGGTTGATCAGATGCAGGATGTAAGGACTATTCAGACCATACTTCCACTTCCAGGGTCTACACTTCTTGCACTTTTCTTGAGGCCAAGCATTCCTGTACTTCTTTCTCTTGGTTTGACTCCACGTCTTTCCTACTTGACCCTTGACTTTCCTCAATTTACTTCTCTGTCGAGTCTTGCTCCTCTTTCTCCTTCCAAAGAGATTCCAACTGCTACCTCATCTCTAATGGCAATTGATTCCCCTATTGAGGGTGCTGGCAGCTCTCTAACTCGTGACTTATCACCTTTACCTAGCTCCAGCCCTCCTTCACTTGATTCATTGGTGGCTAGGACCATGGAGACCATTAAAGATGCTCCACCCATTTCTCCTATCCCTATGCAGTCTTCTGTGTCTCCCATGGCAACTCTCTCTGCGCCCCTCATGTCTAATGATGAGATTGATGTCTTCGAAGCAAGATTAGCTAGTCTCTTTGACATCACCTCTACTTCTCCGACATTCGATGAGGAGGCTGAGCCATTAGTTTTAGCTGATTCTTTGTTGGAAATTTTTGAGAGCGTTCCTTCCTCCAGCAGCCAGCCTTCTGTACCTTTGATAGACTTAGACACCTGTCTGGACCTGTTAATTTCTTTTTCAAGGATTCCTTTCAAGGCTCTACAAAGGCCTATAATTAAAAATGGGTTTCTTCAGTGCTGCAAACTTGCTGAGTAGTTTGGTATGGATGTCTCAAATCACCTATCTCAGGCAGCAGCTACTATCGACTTCTACATCAGTATCTGTCATGCTGCCAAGGCTGCGGATAAGAAATTGGTTAGAGACCAAAGTTTTGTTTCTCAAGTGCATACTGAAGTATCGAAGCTTAAGGAACAACACTCCTCTACCTCTCACTTTCGAACTCAACTACTGGAGAGAAAAGCTCAACTTGAAGAGGAGCTTTCTGCAGTGAATCAGGCCTTACTCCGAACTGACATCAAACTGCAAATCACCAATCAAGGGCTGACCGATCAAAAGAGAGACATGGCTGCAGCTATTTAACTATTTTCGTCATTTACCAATAGGAAATCTGTTGTACAAAAACAACTAAAACATTGTAATGATTTTTGGGCCAACTTGTGGCACGATGTACTTGACTCTTTATAAAAACCATTTCCTTGTTTATCATCTTATGTTCTTGTACTCAATGTTTATTTTATTCCTTGTGTTTCCCAAATAGTTGGAAAATAAGACTTTAAATATCTGCCATTAATCCTTTTGGGATGCACATAACCATTCAAAATTTTCAAATGGTATGCTCCAAAAGGCAAAACTCTATGAATTTGATATGGTCCTTCCCAGTTAGGTGACCATTTGCCAAATCTATGACTTTTAATTCCTATTGGAAGTATTGTTTTCCACACCAAATCACCTTCATCAAAGCCAACGTGTTTGACTTTCTTATTATAATTTTTGGCTGCTTTCTTCTTCTGAAAGAGAATGTTATTTAGTGCCAGAATTCTAGCTTCATCTATGTCTTCTAACTCCAAGCACATACTCTGATAGTACTGCTCAGGATCCAACTGGTCTTGGCATCTTACCCTCAAGGATTTAACATTGATTTCCACAGGTAATACTGCATCATGCCCATAAACTAAGGCATAAGGAGTGACTCCGGTGCTTGACCTTGGGGAAGTTCTATAAGCCCACAATACATCTAACAATAAGTTATGCCAGTCCCTAGGATTATCTTTCACAACCTTTTGTATTCCCTTTTTTAAGAACTTGTTGGATGATTCAGCTTGACCATTGGCTTGTGCATAATATGGGGTAGAATTAACAAGGCTAATTCCAAACTCAGACACAAAAGACTTTACCATTTTCCCATCAAAAACAGTCCCATTATCAACCGTTATCATTTGTGGGACGCCAAATCTATGGATCAAGTCTTTAATGAACCCAATAACCTCCGCCTGATCTACAGCTTTATATGGCTTAGCTTCGACCCATTTGGTGAAATAATCAGTAACTACCAAAATGAAACAATGATGCTTTGAAGAGGATGGGTGTATTTTTCCCATCATATCCATGGCCCACCCTCTGAACGGCCAAGGTTTTACTACTGCATGCAGATCAGTTATGGGCATATGCCTTATTGTACCATGCTTTTGACATGCCTGGCAGCCCTTTGCATATTCTATGCAGTCTTTAAGGATAGTTGGCCAATAATAGGAATGTCTTCGAAGCAGCCATCTCATCTTTACACCAGGCTGATGTGCACCACAGATGCTTTAATGAACCTCAGCCATAGTTGTTAATGCTTCTTTTGGCCCTAAACATTCCAACAATAGACCATCTCCCCCCCTTTTGTAGAGATCATTGTTTTATATGATGTATTACACAGATTACAATTAACTCTTCTGCTGGCTTTTGAGGATGGGCTAGCCAAGTACTGTATTATTGGATGCCTCCAATCTTGTTCCTGCAGATCATTATGATTGATTTCCAGGACCACATTCCTTTTATTTAAGGGTGGTATAGATTTTTGGTATGTTGTTTGGCTTACGTCCCGTTGGGTACCATCATTCCTCTTGAAATTCGAAGCTTTCTGAGCCACATCATTAGCTCTATTATTCAAGAATCTCGGAACATGAGTTACATTTGCTATTTCAAATTGAGAGAGCAAATGTAATGCAACAACATAATATGGCAGCATACTTATACTTTGACACTTGAAAATCCCTTTTACTTGGTTAACAACCAATTGAGAATCTCCAAATATGTCAACTGCATGTACT